AAGGTACTTGTGCAATCGTCGAACGGCCTAAAATACAGCCAACGCTTCTTTTTGAGTCTGTGAGTATCCCTTTTCTGCCGCATTGAGTAGACGTGAAATGCAGATCACTGGGTATCCTTCCTGTTCTAATACAGCACCGATTCCGACGTCAGATGCATCAGTGATGAATGTAGTCGGTTTTGAAGGTGAAAACGGGGCCAGCACAGGACGATCAGTAACGCAGTGAATTAAACCACGTAAGATATCTTCACACTCCACCGACCATTCCCAAGCGTCTGAACACTGAGCACGAAAAAGCGGCTGCACCATTGTAGCAAAGTTTGGGTTAAATCAAGAATAGTACTGTAGGCATCCCATGACCGATTTCAAATGCGTTTGACCGTTTGAAGATTCTATGTTAGTCAATGGTTTGAAACGTGTCGGATCGGGACGATATCCACGGGAATCAACTGTGAATCCTGGAAACTCCAACTCACATACTCCAAACACACACTTGGACGGCTTGATAGCCACGTTTCTGGCAGTAAATCGTTCCAATAGCTGCGTAAGATGGGTATCGTGTTCTTTCTTATTAAGGCCGAAAATGAGGACGTCATCGTGATATGCAAACACACCGTCGAGTCCTTTGATTACCCTGTCTATTGCCGATTGAAAGAGGCCAGACGACACATGCAATCCGACTGGGAGAAAACTGTACTGATACATTCCCCACGGCGTGTTGATTGTTGTCAAGTAGCGAGATTCGACATCGAGTGGAATCTGTAAGTAGGCGTCCGCCAAATCGATCTTCGAAAAATACTGGCACCCATGCAGTGACTTAATGAAATCCTCTGGTTCCATGGTGGTCGCTGAACATCTCCGTAATCTGGGATTCAACGTTAGTCGATAGTCTCCACAGATCCGTGGTGTCCTAACATCACTTTTCAGCGCCACGACGATCGGAGTAGCCCAGGCACTGGATTCAGCATTACTTATCACAACATCCTGCTGCTTGTTCTGTAATGCTTTCAGGACACCTTCCCGTTGACCGTATGGAAGGACGCGTCGCATTAGAAAAAGGTTCACCGTCCACTTCCATTTTCAACGACGGTACTTTTATGCCACCAACGTTACGGAACACTGTACAATCAAATGTTGAAGATGTGAGGTGATTGGCATATCGTTGTTGGTGTGTAGTGTGATGGATCCTTGTAGTAGCCGCATTGCTCGCAAGCGCAGNAACTTCACCGACTGTACTTTCATGCCACCAACGTTACTGGAACACTGTACAATCACATGTTGAAGATATGAGGTGATTGGCATATCGTTGTTGGTGTGTAGTGTGATGGATCCTTGTAGTAGCCGCATTGCTCGCAAGCGCAGAATAGACGGACTGTGGGCTGATACCAGAAATGGGACTGGAATTGATACGCCGGATTCAGATTGAACACGCAACATCGTTTCACCAAGTGATTGCAACTGATGGCCAGTAACTCCATGAATGCGCACATAAGTCGGGCCCAAAACAGCATTAGGACGGATCGCATTGAGTGCTGATTTCGGTAGGATTGATTCGCTGCTTTCTTTGTCTATGATGAATCGATGCTCCACACCAGACCCGAACCTCAGCGGGGCGAACACGAACTGACCATTGGGTTCAGTGGTCTGCAGCATGTAGATTGGGCTTGAGTTCTCTTCTGCTGTTGGGACATGAGAGTCGATGAGGTTGCACTTGGGCATTCGGCATACTTTGCGGATATGTCCCATCTTACCGCATGCATGGCAAGTGGCACTACGGAATCGACAAGTCGAACGAAGATGGTATTCACCACATGAAAAGCAA